TTCTCTACCTTTTGTTCAGCCTCTTGATCGGCCTGAACAACCACCTCGGTCTCGGCACTTCGGTTTTTTTCCATTTCCTTCTCAATAACAGGCAAGGAGGGTTAAGAATCGCTAACAGGCAAGGAGGATTGAGATACGGCGGCACGTGGCACTCCAGCTCGAATGGCCTTCACTCTTCGCCGCGCGGCCATTCTTTCCACGTTCACCTTCGTGGCAAGTTGTGTGAGGCTTAACCCAGCCATGTCTTCGGGGTATGCGCTGGGAAGGTCCTCTAGACCGTGAAAAATGTCGTCAAGTAGAAGGTCCAATCGGCTCGAAGTGGACGGAGGGTCGGCTGAATTAAGGCCTGCTTCCTCAAAGGCCAACTTCAAAGCTTCGTCGACTTCGGCTTCGAACTAATCTGACTTGACGATCTCAACTACTTCCGCTCACTCCGAATCGGACCCCTTGAAACTAACTTGCCGCAAGTTTTTGAAATCGGTCAAAATAAGAGCGGTAAGAAACTCCTCACCCTTCGGAATTAGGATATTTTCTGTTGCCGAGAAGGTCATATAAGTCGGTTCGTAACGGAGCAGAACGTGGGCCACCCTCCCCTGTTGCTAAAGACTCGGATGGCTGAAGTATTTGAGCGCGACCTTGATTTCCGAAAGAACGGCGTTGTCGGTTGAAGTCAGGACTTTCTTCAAATCATTTCCTGCACAGACAAAATCGTGAGGTCTCGAAAATGAAGCTTTATAAATATAACAAAAATAAATAAAAGAAGCTACACGGCCACCTAGTTCGACCCTCCGTCTAGGAATGGGATCGAGGCGATCCTCACCTTCGCCGAATTCCCAGTTACCTTGGACAACAACCATAACATCATCGACTCGCTTCCCAGAACTAGAAAGCATAGTCACTAATTGATGGTCGGTGTCCTTGGCCCTGAGGAAATAACGTCCGTGCCGACCAGAAGACTTGGCCAAGGCATAACAGTGCTGAATAGCAAGAATGCCGAGGTTAATCCTAAGGCGACGGTTTAGTGCTATGATTCCCATTACGATCCTAAAAAAGTTGACGTTGGGTTGGGAAGGGATCAAACCCCAATGGCAAAGCACTGCCCTAAGGAGTGGGTGAAGGGGGAAACGAACTCCACCCTCTGCGATTGAAAGGAGAGAGAAGACAATCGTGGTTTCATCAGCCCTCTCCATATCAAGGGTGCCGTCTGTCACGAGTGACAGACGGACGTCATCAAGAATGAAAAAATGGCGTTGAAAGCCAAAAATTCGATCCGAAGAGAGGAGATCTTTCAAATGTTTTGCTATCTCTTTCAGCCTATAGGAATATGCTAAACTAAAAACACATCAGGAAAAAGGATTCGAAGCAGAGAGGAAGAGAACTTACAAGAGATGAAGAGGATAGTGAATGAAAGGAAGTTGTAAAGGTAATTCGGAAGGCAGTCCAGCAACAAGCACCTAAGAATGTGTATGTATTTGAAAGGACGTCGAAATTTTAAATCACAATAAATAGAAGTGTACGAAGAGGCGGGAAGTTGAAATGATAACTGAGAGGCGTGTGCTCAGACATCTGCATTGGAATGAGGTCGGCCGCCGAATTTCGACTCTGACTTTTCGAGTTCGAAACCAAACACTCCAGCCAGCTGTCGTTAGAGGAGTGCTTGGGGGGCAATTGTGGGGGCCAAATATTGGGAGTCGTAAGGAGGCCGAAATAAATACATAGCATTTGGCCCCGTCTCGCACGTTCAAATCCTACCCTATTCGGCCATATAGCCAGTTGAGCAAGGGGCCGAGTACAAAGCAATTTGCTACAGAAGAGGTCGAATGCCGAATTGAAAGTGGGCCCAATCCCAAGGCCCAAGAAAGAAAGGATATAAATAGAAGAACATCAGCCAGAAAGAGGTATGTGAGAACCATTACAGTTAACTTAAAGTATAAGTAATTCAGAAAGTAGAGACTAACTTGCCCGTCAGAGTGCTAGTTCTGGCACCCCCGACCGGAGTGTTAATTCTTTTTCAGGTGACTAGCTGAGGATCACTAGCGTCTCCCAGGATCTGAAGAGTATTTCCAAACCACTTCTCCACAATAGTATTCAATTATCAAAATAATACATTCGGTTTATCATCAAAGAGTTAACACTCATTACATAAATATTATTTATACAGTACGCAATCCAATCTAAAGTAGAAACATAAGAGTTGCATATTGAATTCATATCATGTTCAACAAATTAAAAATTTTGGATCGAGGCAATCATAATTGTAATCAAAATTAATTGATATTTACTTAATCGAAAAATCATAATGTTCTAAAACATGGCTTTGATACCACATGTAAATAATTTTATAGTGTTATGTATATAACAATCTTCATAATTCAAAATCATGAACTATCATGATTTTCACAAATAATAATACAATGCGAAAAATAAATAACATACCCTTATTAGTTATGCGAACCTTTCAAGTGATTCATAATTGATTGAACATAAACCTAATAATAAATATTAGTGAAAAAACGTTTCTATCTCTTGACCTTCTTCAGAATACGTTATATTCAGAATAATTGATAGGTGACTTAAATATACTTTTATACGTAGAGAGAGTGTCAATTTCTTAATATGACTAGAACTCCACTTGCCTGCCATAGTAGGAGATTTGGAAATTACTCCATCTATTGACCAATCAAATACTAACTTGTAGTTCAAGATATGAAACTATAATCTTATTAAATTTATAATTCATATTGCCATATCATGTACGTTATTATAAAGATTGAATAATTAAATTTAACCTTACATAAAAGAAAAAATCATATACTTTTCCACCAAACTGAAATTATTTCCTTTAACTTACAGCTAGAATGTTATTTTCTCAATACTTTTCTTGCTATTTTAGAAACATTAAATTGGCAATGTTACCAAACACAATCTTACCTTTCTATCTTGGGAAACCTACAATTGTCATTTATTTGATCTCAATTATACATATCTGAAATTTTGATACCATATTAAATTACTAACTATTTTAAAATTTCAAATGTGAGTAGGTGGGTCAAATAATGTTATATTAAGCTAAAAAATATGCAAAAGGTACTCTAACCACGATAGTCGGGAAGACCAACCTCTTTACAACTGTAAACTAGAGGAAGAAGCAAATGGATCACATTGTGAAAGCAACCATGGACCACATTATGAAAGGACCACTTACAAATAATGAACCATCATCACCAAAAAGTGACCCTGCTCGGACTAGGAGTTTAATGAAACGACAAAAACACTAGAAAATAAAACGCAGCCTTGGACTTACTGGTAACTCATTTTATGTTGTTAGTACACACAGCAAACAATTGTTTGGCAATAATTCTTACTTTTTGAATTAAAATTTATAAAAAGATAGAATAAACTAAAATAATTAATAAAGAAAAATGTTACATTAAATTCATAATCATTTAATTTTTTTTCACAAATATCATATCTAATTATAAAAAAAATCTAATTATTTTTTTAAATATAAACATTTTAATATGTTAGAGCTCCGCTACAGACCCCCAGTGGGGGTCGCACCCCAGTGAGGTGGCGTGCCCCCACTGGTCAAAATTCAAAAAAAAAAATAAAAAAAAAACAATTTTTTTTTATTCAATCACCACCTGCCATCTCACTGGGGTCGATCTCCAGTGGGCTCCGAAGCATTAATCAAATTGTAGATAGTTTAAAGGTTACCACTGTTTGGCCATTTTACTCAGTGGACAACATTTCTCATTGGAAAATGAGTAGAGGTGGAAGGATGAGTGCCCAATGTTGGATTAAAGTAAGGAAAATGAAAAAGGTTGAGAGAGAGAAGAAAAAAAAAAAAAAAAATTAATAAATAAATAGTATTATTATAATAATTGCATTAGTTATTCTGTTTTATTTTAAGATAAATTATAAATATATATTTTAAGATTTATTTAAAATATAAATAGTTCTGTATGATTTTAAAAATTATATTATACCTTTTAAAATTTTTAATCGCATAAAAAATAATCCCTTTCATTGATTAATTATTAAGTCAATTAATAATTTTAATAATTTTATAAATATATTTAAATTAATAATTATGGTAATTTCATTGTTGTATTGAAGAAAAATTAAGAAGTTTTATTTTTTCTGTTAACTTTGTTAAATGATAAATTCTGAGAAATGAATATTTGTAATTTTTAAAATTACAAGAAACAATTTATATTTTAAACAAATTTCAATAAATATACTTATAATTTACCATTTATTTTATCATCATATTAGTTAACACTATTGATTTAATAGTCGATCTATAAGATCCCAATATTATATTAAGTTAATTCAATATACATATACATATGAATAGAATATAATATAAAAATAAGTTTGGATTTGCTTCGGTTGGCAATCTCAATTTGAGAGAATATTTAAATTTAGTGAGTCCATTTTGAGGTCAACTTCGGTAATCTAAATTGTTCACTTTTTAAGACTTATTAAATAAAATATTTATATAAAAAATTTAAGATAATAAAATGTAAGTAGTCATATGTTTAAAACATATTTGTATTATTAAAAATAAATAATTGTTCTTAAAATTATAATTATCATATATTTTTTTAAAAACAAATTTAATTTAAACATATAATTATTGCTATCTAAATACTTTTATTTTTTACATAAATATTCTACTTAAAAAACAAACAACTCGAATTAAGATCAGCTTCAAAATAACTATACAAAACATAAACGCTCTCTCAAATATCAAAATTAAAGAATATTTTTAGAAAAATAATTAAAAATTAACATTTTAACTTTTTAAATTTTTAATATAAAAAATAATATTATCCAAAATAAATTAAAAATTAACTTTTAACAGTTAACCTAGTTCCCGAATGGCTGCTAAAACGAATCCAAAACAACACAAAAATATACCTCTAATAGCATTATTGATAAATAAATGTTTTACACAAAAAAACAAAACTGGCATGAAAGCTATATTTCATTGGTTGTTGCCGTGCAGCTCCATTACACGTGTACGCATCCCACGGCCGTCTTCTCTCTCTCTCTCTCTCTCTCCATTCTCTCTGCTTCAAATTGTACAGACATGGCTCCACACAAATGGGGTTTCTATCTTTGAGGTTTTGAAGCTGTTTCTGCTACTGGGTATGTCTCTCCACTCTCTTCTTCTCTACACAAATTTGGATTCCCTGTAAGAATATTCTGTTCTCTCTTTCACCCCCATGGGGTGATCTCTGGTTCAATCCAACTTGAACATCTATATTCTATCTTGGGTTTTTAATTGTCTTTCTAGTAGGTCTCCTTTGTTGTTTACCAACTAGTTTTGCGTGATCTTTATCTTTTCTCTTATTTTTGTGAAGTTTTTGTTTGTATTTGCTCTGGGTTCATATGGGTATTTGTTGTTATTAAACTATAATTTCAATTTTTTTCTTAATTTTCTGCATAGTGATAATCTCCACCTTCTCCTAAGTCTATTAAATTGGTATTTTGGTTTGTTTTAATGTTTCTTTTTCTTTTGATTGGTACTTTACTCTTAATTTCTAATATGCCAATGATGCTCCTCCTGATCAAATTACAATATTTGATCAATATTGTAGCATAATTCTGTTCTTGATGAACCATGGTGTAGATCAGCTGATAGGTTTTTTGTTTTGGAATATGACAAAAATCAATTTTTTTGTGCTAATTTTATCACTTTAAATTGCAGGAACTAGACTAAGCAATCTAAAAATTAGAATCTAATTTGAAGGGTATATATGACCATGCATACTGTATATCTCAAAGAGCATGAAGGGATTGTCCAAAATCCCACTGGTCAGTTGTCATCGGGTGCGGTGCCTTGGTGGGGTGGGATCGGGTCTCAATCAGCTTATGCTGAATCATTTGGCCAATTTAAGTCTTCATCGATGGAACACCCTACCAGTGGAGGCCAACCGACTTCCACTAAGCATGCGGAGCATGCTACAGAACTAGGGCTGGAGAAAGGGAATACAACTCAATTCGCTATCTTTCCAGGTAATTTCTTCAAAAGTTTTGAATTATTGTTGGGGGAGAAAGTGGAGTTAAATTCAAATGAAATCTCAATGAATGGAAGAAAAAAAATCAAGATTCTAAGCATGAGTAGACCTCATACGTTCTTGTTGAATCTCGTATTGTTATCTTCATGAGGATATGCCAATAATTTATGGCATCTTAGGATCCATTGCTTTTCTTGCCATAAATTGGTAGGACATAAGAGGCTAAATGGGTTAAGTAAACATTGTACCATTATATATTTGAGGATGAGTTTTTATCAGGCATATATGGTCAAAGAAGATAAGAACAATTCTATCTACATTTTATATGCAGAGGAAAGGTAGAGAGCATGCAGTGGAAAATTTCATTTAGAGTGACCTATCATGTTATGGAAATGATCTGTTTTTGCATAATAATTCCCATCCAGTATTCCTTTTCTTGCTGGGAACTTGGTGTCAGTGCCTTAACAAAGGAACTTGGAAACTTTTCAAGGAGAAAATTCCTTACAGATTCAGGATTAATGTTTTTCAGTGCATAACTGCTCAGTTTTCTAGATGAACATGTGTAGTTTTCTTGCTATGGTAGGATTGATCATATGTGGGAAACCTGATATAATGGATGCAAGTAGTAGTCCTTATTTTGGGAAAACAGATATCCAAGAGTAATCCATATTCCATAGTTTCTAGTTTACTTGTCTGGCTAACCCCTTTTGCAACTAGGAAATCTTTCAATTATTTTAGTATTGTCCAAACTAAAATAACCCATGCTTTGTGAAAAGAGAACATAGGATGAAAAATGGAGAACAATGAGCTTTTGGATCTAAAATTGTATGCCCGTTATCCTGTCTTCATTCTGATACCGTTCATTGCATGAAAAAATAACAATTGTAATTTTTTAAAATAACTGGTGCATAAGAGTTTGAATGATCTGTCTATTATTTTGGTCTTGATGGTTAATAGTTATGATGGAATTCATTAAGATTCATGCATAAGGGAATTAAAATGATAAGAGGTGGAAAAAACTTTAAAATGATATGTTTGAACAAGAAAGATCATGGATTTATCTTTCTAGTTCATACAGTCTTGGTTGTTACCAAAGTTGAACTAAAAGAAGCCTTTGATATCATTCATTACATGGAATCCAACAGAGAAAAACTCAACAACACTATAAATAAAATAAAAAAAAAATAAAAAAAGGAAAGAAAAGAACATTGGATATGCTATTCACGAAAGATTCTGCTTCTGACATGCATAATTCTTTTTATTTCATTTTTGGATGATTGAAGAACAATGTGTTTTAAGGGGAGTAAATGTGAGGAAAGAATGCATTGAGGTCATCTGGCAAATCCTCTTCATTATCACCATTCATTCTGCCAACAACAGGCGCTGATGGCATCCCCATATCACTCACCCCAGTTGGACCTAGCATGTCCCAGTTAAGAGGCATTGTTTCCATGAACCAGTTGTCATTCATCAACTGCTCTATCGATGTTGCTTCAATACTAGTGTGAGCTTGGGAAACTTCATCCACTTCCATCATTCCAGGAGCTGGACCAAGAGCAGGAGCAGGAACGAGAAGTGGCAATAGAGGAGGAGCTTGTTGTCCTCGTGCTCTTTCTCTTTCTTCAAGCTGCTTCAGCTTATCAACTGTCAACAATGACAAATAATTTAGTCTCATGATGTTTAGTTGATATAGATTGCTACCTTCAAAGATTTGATTCATGATTTCCTGAATTTCTTTCTTATCATTCTTCTTCTTTTCCATATTGTTCTTATTGGTCTCCTGCGTGACCCTTTGTGTGAGGAAGCCTTCATTTGTCATCATTTTCTGGTTTCGTTCTACTATTGGGATACTCAGGAACCTTTCAAACATTTGTTTCATGTGCCTATAAGATGGCCAAACAGCAAGATCAGCTTCCTCGTGACTGTAAACGATAACACCAACTTCCACATCGCATAGGACAGACAGTTCTCCGGCTTTCTTGAATATGCTAGCTCTTCTTCTTTTGAGAGTGGCTTTCCTTGAAGACTTATCGACTATCCATGCAAGTTTAATCTTATTTCTTGTCATTTTGGTGCTTTACCAAGTCTTTTTTCTAAACACACTTGGTGGTATATATAGTGCACAATGTAGATAAGCATCAGTAGGTTACCATATCAGGGGCATGAGAATAGGACACGAGAGGCTTTTGGGTGTATTATGGTCAACAAAGATTTAATGTGACTTTGATTGCCTAAAGTAGAGATGTTTATTGTGAATGACACAATATGGTAGAACAATCAATTATATATTAATGACAGAATTCAAAATCTTGTCTTGATTGACTGCATTAAAACAATTGACTGTTAATAGATTTGGACAAATTTCATTTTAACCTTATGAGTATAGGCCATGTGCACGTTGAGTCTTGTGGACCATGATAAATACTATTCATTGGGCCTTCAGTCCAATGGGGGGTTTGGGGAGGCCTCCCCCCAAGGGAAGAGGGGGTCTCAAATTTTTTGGGCACTTTGGTAATTTCTTGTTGTTTCCACATTACCCTAATTTTATGCTTATAAATAGATGAAGGGGGCGCCTCTTGTATTGGAGAGAGTTGTATTGTTTTCTCATCATAGTGAAAACTGCATCAGTCGTGGATAGCCCTATTATGGGGTGAGCCACATAATCCTTGTGTTTTTGTGATTTCTTCGATTTGTTTTATCTTTCTTGGTTGTTATTTCGTGTTTCACCGATCCTGGTTATAAAGAGTCAATTCCTAACGGTTATGAGGATCAAAATTTCATTTCGGTTTGTTGTTTCGGGTATCTTGGAAATGGAAACATTTCGTAAAGAAAACATAAAGGAAATGATAAAAAAAAACAAAGAGTCAAGGATGTTTTCTTTCTCGAAACAACCAACATATTAGTGTGAGGAATGAAATGCATGACTGAAACAACCAGCCATTGGCTTTGATACCACTTGTTGGGGATCTAAGGAGACCAACAACACCCCAACAAGGCCCAATTACTTGGGGAGTGACAAAAGGTTTCCACCTTGCGCGACACCCGGGCCTAATAGACATTGTTTAGAACTCATTCCCACTCAAAAACTTTGAGTCAGTAAGTAGCAAGTCCATGTATATTGAAGACCATTTCCCTTTTACTTTTCTTCTGATGTGAGACTCTTTTGCTTCATAATGTACCAACATGTTAGTATGAGAAATGGAGCGCATGACTTATGTGCACTAGAAGGATTAACTAGGTAATTTACCTTCCATGACTTCAAAAATCCTACAGGGATAGCAGTAATTTTGGTATTTGTATATATTCCTTCTAATCTGGTGGCTATGTTGAACTTTCTCTTCTATATATTCTTTCTTGTTATCCTCACATTCTTACTCATGAGCCCTTAATTGTAGAGGAATGGCTTAACTCTGTAAAGGGTGCTTAGTTTTTCGCTAAAAGATTTTTATTTTTAACTTTTTGAACAATTGTTCCTCACTTTCTTGATTGAAACAACCCATGCCTATAATAATTTTTATGCTTGTAGATGTTTGTTGCTTTACTTATTTGCCTTCATGATCATGAAGGCAGGCATAGCAATAAGTTTTGAAATCTGCTATTACAATAATTTGTGTACAAGGCACTTCAATCTGACTTTCCTTGACCATCCAAATAGTCTCTCATTCAGGTGATTGCAAAAATTCAGCAAACATGCCCATGAAATCAGCTCCATCAGAATATCGTGGTTGTATCGAGCTAGGATTTGGCCAACCTGTGGTAAGGTGTTTTCCCCCAGATTAATATAACCTCTGTTTCTAGTTATGGATTGCTTATTATTTGTTTTGGTCTCTGAACTGGCACAGATCTGTGCAAAGTATCCTTATGGGGATCAGTGTTATGGACTTTTTTCAACTTATGGAGCTCAGATTCCGGTTTGTCTTCCTTCTTATCTTCTTGCTCACCTATTACCCTAAATTACATTTTTTTTCACCTATGTTGTCTGTGTAAAGTAAAATTCTTATCATGGATGATTCTTTAACTTGGTTGTTGTAACCTATGCTGGTCTGATTAAATGAAAAATTGGACCTAGCAAATATTTGACAGTTAAGCCTTTTGTTTTTCTTTTGATTCTAGTGGATTATACAGATTAGTCTATAGAGTTTAGTCAAGGGCATAGTGTTAAAAAGTTTCAAGTCCTTAAACAGAACTAGTAATTTGAATATTGCCACGTGTGGGTATATGTACTTCGATTTGTCTAGACACAGATGTGGATCAAGGACAAGAAAGAACATTGACACATTGACATTGATAATTCTTGTTAAGTAGGACATGGGCTTGGGGGAGACCATGACAACAAGCTCAAGAGTGGGCTAGACACATGATCCAAGAGTGTCTAAAAGTGTCAACCAAGTACCCAAAAATGTTATATGCTTGAACAATGTACATGGTCAAGAGGTTTCCGACAAGTTATTTTGCATTCAAAACTATTGGGTTTCTGTACTTGTCTATCTGAATAGAGTAAATAAGAGTTACACTATTTGAGGGTAACTTTATATGCTTTTTGGTTTACTTGTGATTGTTTTGAAGGCACTTGTGTTATTTCAAAAATATGAAGTCCTAACTGTCCATATCAAAAGTAAAAGAAAGGTTAAATTTTGAATCCTATTGTGTCAAGGACCTCTTGGCATTAAAAGTCTTAATCTGAAAATGAAATTGGTTAATGGAACGCGATTATAAATATTTATTGATCTGTATGTGTCATGGACATGGATGTGGATGTGGACGGATATGACATGATACAGGCATGTTGACACAGTAAATTCTTAAGTGGTAGGAGCAGGACACAAACGTGGGTGAAGATGAAAACATGCCATAGAATGTGCTGGACGTGTGCTCAAGAGTGTCAAATCAGCGTTAACCAATTATTTGTAATTTACTTATAAATTATGGAAATGTTCAACCTTGCATTTAACTATCTTCATGTTGTGCATGAAGTCTCATGAGTCCAAAATAACCACACAAAAAAGTCATACCCAGTGCAGAAAATTCAGTTAATATCTATGAGAATATAAAACTAAAAACCCTAAACTCAAACTTATGGTAGGTGATTGTTTGAAAAAGAACGAGACGATAATTGAATTGATACATTCAGGTTTGGCTCATCCAACGCATGGCACGGCCATCCTAAAAGATGGAATTCCCTTGTCTGTAATCCTCCATAAAATTCCACAATTTGGACAAGTAATATGCTGATGTTGAAAGAAGGCAGCATAATGGAGGGAAATTGTATTTCAAACAAGGGGAGGTAGTCTACGGTGTAGAAGAGGAACTAAAGAGGTGCAACAAAATGTAAATTTAGAAAATGGAATGAAAGTTTAAGGTGCATGAACAACTCAACTTACCAAAGCTTTGTCCTGACCATTTGAGGTTGGCTACATGAATCCTATTGTGCCATTATTTGGGCTAAGGATTGGCTGAGCGGAAAGGCAGAATTCCAGAGTGACACATAGCTTTACTAATTGGAAAATCCATGTCTATAATAAGTGAATAACTAACTTCTGCTGTTATTTTCTTGTATCTCGTGTTGCAAGGGTGGGAATGATGTATTTCATTTTTCTTCATGCGTCACACTACTTTGGTTGGTGTCTAAGCCTTTGCTTGGCTAGTGTTCACAAAAATAAATTTGGACCGAGTTACAAATTTAATTATTTCTTTTTTTTACATGATTTAGGGTCGTATTATGCTACCATTGAACCTGACGACAGATGATGGACCGATATATGTAAATGCTAAGCAGTATCATGGAATAATCAGGCGCCGGCTCTCGCGTGCCAAGGCAGAATCGAAGAATAAACTTCTTAGAGCTCGTAAGGTACATTTCCTCAACTTCATATATCCTTGAGGAATCAGTGATGTTCCATTCTATTGGAAAAGGGAAAATTTGTAGGATCTGAAAAATGTGGTAGTTATGTATTTTGAGATCATGTCTGCATCGCACTCATATTAAAGCTTATAAATTATGTCTACCTTGTATAATTTCCATTGAATTCAAAGCAATACTATGCTTTTTATCATTGAAGCCATTAACATTTTGTAGCTAATCACGAAACTAATCCATTAAATCTAATTCGGCCATTTGTACGATGTCAATGTTTGATGTTTGGGAATTTTGGGGTGATTTGATTGGGTTGTCTGTGGAAACTTTAATTGGGTATGTTGAATGTTACATTGAGGAGTGTCTCATCTTTTTATATGTTCTACAACTTAATTGTGTTGTCCAACCATTCGTAATTTTTCTCTAAATTCAGCTTTTTATGTACTTCAAATTTATTAAATAACTAACTTTTGTTTTGGACCATTACCGAAAGTGATGCCTCAATCAAAATTTGGGGACTGATTTGTGGAGGAAAAAGAAAAGAAAAGGGAAATGTTAAAATATAAATAAAATAAAATAAATTTATATTTTATTCACATTTCTCTTCTTCCCTTTTATTTTCCCTCCACAAACCACTTCGAGATCCAAACTCAACCTTAACGAGTTTCTTCTTTCTTCTTTTTCCTTTATGAGCAATAACTGTTCACCTCATGATTATAAATAATTCATGTTCTGGTTTTTTCCCCAGCCATACTTGCACCTGTCGCGTCATCTCCATGCAAAGCGCCGTCCAAGGGGCTGTGGTGGCCGCTTCCTTAACACGAAGACTTCAAATGGTGATAAAGGCGGAACTGAGACAGAAAAGCCTCAACATGGACGACTTTGTCAACCCGCTGAATCTCAGGATTCTGAAGTTTTGCAATCTGATAGTGGAAATTTGAAGTCACCGAAGAGAGCAAATGGCAAGAGATCAAATCTTTCAGGGTCGGAGGTGACTAGTATGTTTTCCAGGGGAGATCTCAATCTCTTTGCTTTCAATCATACCCTGCCATCTGTCCATTCTCTCTCTGATGTGATGAATACTGGGCATGGGATGTCCATTCCCAGTAGTAAGTGGATTGCAGCAGCTGATAACTGCTGCCATCTCAAAGTTTGAGAGCAAGGGGACAAGTGGGGTCCAGTGTCGAATCGTCGGAACGGGCCCCACCCTTGCTGCAACCAAACGAAGAAGCTTCGTTGCAATGCAACGGGTTTTGTTTGGTTGCTGATTTTGAGGCAACTCATCCTTGGCTAATGAAAAGGCAATTCATTCTTGGCTCATTTGCATTAAGGTTTGCCTTTGCCATTCCATAGAATCTTGCAGTCTTTGGTATGGTTAGACATGCTAGAACCTTAAGGCAGTTAAACAGTAGACAAAGACTATTATGAATGGGTTTGTTCCCCATTATCTGAATAATACCATGAAAGTGTGGATTTCATGTTTGTAATGTTGAAGAAGTTGATGTTTGTTGAAGTTTGTGTTTTGAGTCTGAATTTCAAACTTCCTGGTGAAGTAATGTATCATAAGACTGGTTTAGACTTAACATGTTGTCCACTTGTCATGTGTAATTATATTAGCATTATGTATTTTATTGTTAGTTTTACATTGAGGACACGCTCAGTTCAATGTTTCAAAAAGTTCATAACCTCTTTCTAACATGTCATTCTTTTTGGTGATCCTTCCAGATCCTGCTTTTCTTGGGAAGTTACAATTCTTTTAAAGACGCTGTTTAATGATATTGCAATTTCTGATTAATGCTTTCACCGCTCCTGAGGTTGGTCAAGGCCTAGTTTAGAACCTACCCAAGCCCTACAATCATCCCCCCCAAGAGACACTGGATCCGCGAAAACCTCATGAAAATTATGAAAGCTGGCATTAGTATGTCATCGTAGTGGTATTGAACTTAAGGCAAGGCTTGGTTTGGTTTGGTTTCGTTTTGTTTGGTTTGGTTAGTGGTATCGAACTCATTCATTTGAACCTCAGGGAGACCTAATTGTGGCCTCGTTCAATTTTCTACCTTCATATTCAGTCCTAATCCTATTAAGATCTTTTGGCACTAAAATTTATCTATCCAAACTAAAGTTTCGACCTAGTTTCCCACTGTGGAGCAGTAATGGGCGTATTTCTTTTTGTTATTAGGCCCCCATTTAATGGGGATTAAACTAGGTGTAATTTTTTTAATGGGTGCTTAATTACTTATGGATTTTATTAAATTTTGGTAGATGGAAGAAAGTGACTTTTGTGTAGCCTGATAAATAAGAGACGAAAAAGTTGTGTTGTTCCGAGTTTTCTGATAAATAACAGGTGAAAAGGGCAATTGATTTATGCAGGGTGCATTTTTTTTTCTTCCAAATTTTCAATGATATGTTGTGAGCTGTTCTTAACTCAAGTAATGATGTACCAAGCTTGCTAAAAACATGATGTGCATACCAAATAGACAATTTTTCATTGAAAAATGTAATGTATACCCATATTCTGTGCCCCAAAAAATTATCACAAAAGTGAGGTATATAGTATAGATTTAAAGTTGGTGTGATTTAGGTTAGTGCCAAAGTGAATGTGGGTTTTGATCTCACAAAGGTGCTCTAGCTCGTCCTCTTATTGTGTTTACCAAAGAAGCACCTATTGAGGTAAGCACTGAGGTGATCCTTTTGACGACCAAGTCACAATGGCAATAATGTATTTCTCTATGCAATGCTATGGTTACATGTAAACACAAGTAGGAGAATCTAGAGCCGTCGGACAAAAAGCTTTGGTCTAATCACTATCTTTCTCCGCAATGGTGCATCATGTGTAGGAGTGGGAAATCTTTGAATCACTTTTTTCTTCATTCCCTGTAGCATTAAACCTATGGCGTCATTTATTTCTGTTGGTCAATTGACAGTGCGTGGCTCCAGAGGAGCATGCTCACATGCTTCTAATTAATTTTAAAAAAATTGGTACAAAGAAGAAAACAAAAGTGTTATGGCAATGTGGCATTTTTGCAATTTCTTGGGGCATTTAGTTGGAAAGGAATGCAAAGATTTTATTCACCACAAAAAATGCAATGATTTTTTGTTAGACATTTTCCACTGTATTAATTTAATTTTCTATTTGTGTATTCAACAACAAAACAAAACACGTAAATAAATAATTTTTTTTTTAAAAAATTCAGAATCTGTTTAATTACAGAAACAAAACAAAAATTGTAAATAGAATAAGAAGGAAACAAAATAAAGGCAGGAAAATACTTACAGAAAATATTTTCTAAGAATGATCAAGTTCAGTGTTTTACATTATTTCCTTAAGACAAATTCGTCTTCTCTCAAGTGCTAACAGATTATGGACGTCTATCTTCCAGAATGAAATGATCTACAACGAACAGTAGTAGCACTACAAACTGTTCGCACAACGAACACACTATGTGTATATACTCTCTTTCAAGGAAAAGAAATGCAAAAATATGTAGGAACTTTGAGAATGAAGAACGAAAATCTGAATGAAAAATCAAATGAAAGACTTGTTTATTTATAGGTGAACTAGTGACTTTTCATGATGACTTCAACGGATACCAAACATGTTCGAACAGATTTTGAACAGGTAAAGTACCTGTTCGGGTTAAATTTGAACAGATAATGAACCTGTTCGGTTGGAGGAAAATACTGAAGAAGTGTAAGGGATCAAATTGCCAACGTTCAGAAACGTTGAGGTCATTTCGGAATTAAGTTTGAATTTCAAACCGAAATTCAAATTCCAAACGGTAAGAATTTAATTTTAAAAAATAAAATTCAAAAGTTTTTTGCCCAAAAAGATATGTGTTGAGCCGGACAAGCCTAATCCAACCTCACACCATGCACCTGTGCCCAGCTCGCCTGACCGGATGGAAGCGGCGACGCGCACGCGTGTTTGTTTTGGGTCCATAACCTCCCCCTCTACAAAGTTTGAGTACCCCTTGGGACAAATCCCAATGTCCAAACTCAAAGCTTATAAACACATACAATGTTAGCCTAGCTAAGCAAAATGTGGGACAAGCTTTCATTCCTTCAATTTGGAAAACCCACCAAAACATTATTTTACTTTGGTTTTAATTTCCTATTAACCTCATAATGGTTTTGAACAACCAAATATACTACGTGAATCACAACGCGACATAGAACGCTTTACCATCAATACCCGCCACCCTCAGCACGTGGGTCTCACTTAAAAAATAGACTAAAATTTAAGAAAAAACAAATTTTCCAAAATCATTCTTACATTTTTTAGGGCAAATTCGCAGATGTTGATTAATTGTGAGAGTGTCATTGAATATTGTTTTGGGCATCTACTTCTCCCCTTTCAAAAGGAATCCATTCTTTTTTATATTTAGAAATTAAAAAGTGATTTGTGATGTATGGTAATTTTTTTAAGGTTTTGGTGTAATTAATATTGTTTTGAGCATCTACTTCTCCCCTTTTAAAAGAAAGGGTCCAGCTTGTCCCAAGTTGAAATTAAGATTGGATTCGTCCAGTTCGGCCCATGGAGTTCATTTTTTGGGCCCGTTTTGATAATCCGAACCGTTCAATGTGTAGAACTCGTCAAGTACTACATGTCTGTAAAACATCACGTTGATCGGATATCAATAGCTATGTGATCAAATCAGTTTTGTATAAAAAAAACAGCTTGTCCCAAGTTGAAATTAAGATTGGATTCGTCCAGTTCGGCCCATGGAGTTCATTTTTTGGGCCCGTTTTGATAATCCGAACCGTTCAATGTGTAGAACTCGTCAAGTACTACATGTCTGTAAAAAATCACGTTGATCAGATATCAATAGCTATGTGATCAAATCAGTTTTGTATTAAAAAAAAATGGACGGTGAAACAATTAACGGTTGATAAAAAACTGTTTTGTTTACATAGCTATTGATATCCGATTAACGTGATTTTTTACAGGCATATAGTACTCGACGAGTTCTACACATTGAACGGTTCAGATTATCAAAACAGGATCCGTGGTGGGCCTCCATGGGCCCAACAGCACGATCCAGTCCAATCTTAGACTGAACCAAAGCCACTGCCTAAAAGGAATCCGTTCTTTTTTATATTTAGAAATTGAGAAGGAATTTATGATGTATAATAACTTTTTCAAGATTTTGGTGTAATTAATATTGTTTTGGGCATCTACTTCTCCCCTTTTAAAAGGGATCTATTCTTTTTTACATTTAGAAATTGAAAAGGAATGACTGTTGGATTTGAAATGGACAACTTGTCCTCCCCTCGTCTTCTCATTTATTAATAAAATTCATCTCCTTGCTGATCATAAAAAATAAAAATAAATAAAAAAATTAATTAAAAAAAAACAGTCAATTGCTACCTAGGTATATCTCACGTCTTAGCTCTTGTAATTGGTCAACTACACATGTCGCTTTCATTATTATTATTATTTTATTTTTGTTTAATACTACTCTCAAGTCAACGCATAGATTTTTTGCTTCTTTGTTACGAGGATGTGATCTCCTTCCCTCACTTGCTATTGATTGATCAATTTAATTCCTTCATTTACACTGTATTTAGTTGGAAAATTTAGAAATAGATTTGGAAAGAGAAAAAAAATAAATAAATAAAATATGAATAAAATATACCTATATTTCATACACTTTTTTCCTTTTTCTTTTTAAATTTATTCACAAATTTTTTAACCAAACACAACATTAGAATGACAATTTTAAGGTGAAATAGTCAATATTTTTAGCATAGGTTGTTGCTATGCCCATTCTAGGTAATTTTATAGATATGTCGCATTGTTATTATTCATTATTAAAAGGGGTTAGGTTAAAAATGTTTAGAATTTGTTTGGTTTTCTCAAATTTTTGATTACTTTTTTTTTCTCTTTTTTGGTTCATGTAGACTGTTTAGTCATTTAAATTTAACAAAATAAATAAAATGAATATATATATACATTAAGGGAAAAAAGGCAGAGACAACAAAGGAGAGAATAAAAATGTGATTAATTAAAAATCCAAGAGGTCGATGGAGTCTAAGATTATGTTTGGATTATAGATCTAGGTAGAGATTTAGAAAGGAAAAGAAAAAAGGTAAGTAGAATATAATTATATTTCATTCACATTTTATCTACCTAATCTCTTTCTCTTTATAAATCTCTATTCAAATTCTTGATCCAAACACATCTTTAAAGACTAGTAATTTTATATTTAAACTAAGAAAATGGTAGTCTAAATGAGAAACAATAAAGAGCAAATCACCCACAAGTCCTTTTTGAAAAGTGCGTATTCTATTTAATCTCAAAACCTTTTAGATAGACCCAAAAGTCCTATTTCTATTTATCTTTCCCTTTTTCCTTACACCTCTTTCTTTTTTTGATATCGGCGATGACTACAACTACGCCTTCCTTTTTTTCTTTCTCTTTCTAATCTAAAGTCATCAACGATCGGCAACCACCACTGATTGGGGTTCATGGGCAACTACCGAGCACTAACTCCTTGTTTCGTGCTCACCAACGATGAAAGATATGAGTTTTCGACGAAAAAAACGAGTAGATCTACTCAAATTTGATGTAGATCTACTCAGATTTGATATAGATATGAGTAGATCTACGTTAGATCCGGTTAGATCTAAATCAAAAAAATAGTTATCGGAGCA